AGACAGTCTTAATTAGATATATGGGTAGGAACTAAGGAAAAATGGCCAGTAGTTGGTAGTGGACAAAAAGGATGTGGATACCATCATCTGGAAAAATGTGAAGTCTGAGAAAAGTGGCTTTAAAACCCCCCCAGAAATGGCACTATTTGAAAAGCAGATATGGATGGCAAGAAGAATCAAGAGACTGACCAAAAAGGAAGAGATGTGGGAGAGAAGTAAAAGAGAATTTTTACAGAAGGCAAGTAAATACATTTTAAATAAAAGCAATCTTTAATTTAGCTACTAGAGGCAATTTGTTACATTTATCAGTGGTATGATATACAGAGAAGCCAGAATTCAGAGAGGGTTGAAGGTGATATAAAGTGAGAGACATACCTTTTTCAAGTTACAAACTAAAATTTAATATTATTACAGTCCTTGTGTGGTGCTGTAGGATAAGCACTCGACCACAAGGTCGGTTTAAACCACAAGATCACCAGCTGCTCCTTGGAAATCCTATACAGGGTTGCAATAAGTTGAAATTGACTTATCAGCAACACATTGTATTATTATTACTATTGCTTAACTCTTAATCCATTGCTTGACTTGAAAATTTTAGTGCTTTGGCATATATTTACAATGAGATAATATCCATCACTGTTATTGCCTGGGAGCATACATATGGTATGACTGTCTTCCTTACCAGTTATTTTAATGAAGCTATGACATCATGATTATAATGATGACACTAGCAATAAATTGTGGACTGCTTACTATGTACATTTTACATGGTATTAACTTTAACATTTTTAACATTAAAAAGAAATTTAATTTTACATAAATTAACTCAACTCCAGCTTATTTTAAGTAAAAAGAGTACTTCTTAGCTCACTGCATACAAGAGTACTCAAATGTAGCTTTATGCTGAAAAAATATTTGTCTTAGGCTGGATTCTTTACAAAAGTAAAACCAGTGAAGCTCATATATATTACTATATATGTTGCTGTTTTTATATGCCATCGATTCAGTTCTGACTCACAGCAACCCTGTATAGGGTTTCCAAGGAGTGGCTGGTAAGTGTGAACCACCAACCTTGTGTTTTAAGCAGACCTTGTGGTCTAGTGCTTAACCTATAGCGCCACACCAGGACGTCAATTATATATGTATGTATGTATACACTCACACACTATTCTTTTTTTCATTTGGGTCTAATTCAAAGTTTCTGTCTCAGTTTTTCTGTCTGTAAAATAAATTTCCAAATATAGAGCAGAACACATGAAGAGGTAGATCACATGGAGCTTTCCTAACTTAATTCCAGACAAACAAGGATACCATCAAGACGAAAAATAACATACTGACCTATAAAACACTAAACAGACAGAATTAAAGTACTATAGTGCATCATATCTAATCCCATAGTTAGTAGACATTAAGTGAACTAACATTTTAATTCACCTTTTGTTTGACATTTTCTGCCATCCAAGGGCTACCAAGATACAGAACCCCATGCTAGGAACATATAGTACTCGCTCAGCAACAACAAATCCAACTGGGAAAAAAAGATTCGATGCAGGAATAAATGGTAGTGCCATTAAACAAAGTGCCTAGGAGGGAAAAGACAATACATTGAAAAACATGTGCACAATTAACACTCAGATCCAGATATTTGCTTATATTTCTTGGCATTTAATTTGAATAATACACCAGCTGAGGAGACGCTGTCCAGACTGAAAGAACTGTGCCCTGGGCATTTTCTGATCCTGCATTGTAACCTGTTATAACTTGCCTAATAAACCCCAGAACTTTGAGTATGATGTATGGGTTCCCTGTGGCCACTGCAATAAATTATCAAATTCAGTTGAGTAGAGTGTGGTGGGAGAGATAGGTGGTTTCATTTTTCTGCAGTTTCCATATGGCTTTATGAAAGTCATTACAAAAGGTAGCACACAAAAAAGCTGTGGAAGGAAATAAGTTTGGTAGTCTTTAAATGGACATCTTTCTATCAATATCTGCACCCACATTTTGTTAATCTGATTTGGTCTATAGAATCTAACTGAATACATATAATGATTGTTTAGCTCAATAATTTGAGGCTCTTCTAATAGGTTTAAGTTTTTTACCCTTGATGATACACTTTCAGTAAATTATAGATGTAGAGATACATGCACATTATAATTGTTTCTCCATGATTGTTTTATAATTTGATTTATAATGAAGCAATGCTAAATCTGAGGAAAAGCACATTATCATGGCTATTTATGTCTGAATTTTAGTGTTTATTAGTTTTAAATCAAAAACGCAAAGTGCCCCATTCAACCTAGCTTTGATGATCAAAACTCAACTAGAGGAAGATAAAAACAACAAAAAAAATTTTGATAAAGGAAGCAAGCGTAAATTGCTACAATTTGATGAATTTGACCTATACTTTTGTAGTAGTTTAAAATAACAACTGAGAGGGAGGGAGTCTTCATATCAAGGATCAACCCTATCCCCTCTGTACACAGGGTAGATAGGGATGGGTGACTTAAACATTGGCTACCTAAAATGAGGGGCTATAAAGGCATGAAGTGACTGACTGGCTTATAAGTTTTCAAGAGGGAGTTTATTTTCAGAGTATGCAGAGTAAGGCAGACTCCCCAGTGAATAGTTTTCATCTTGTCTAGATGTGTCTGGTGAAAGGAGATGGGGATAAGATTCTTACGATTCAATAGTGAGTAATTGTTATCATGACTAATTGCGACTGTCACAACTGTAAAGGTAGAAGTTTTGTAAAAAGGCAAAATGCTAAAAGTGGATATAATTTGCTTTTAATTTCTGAGAGACGTTGGATAAAATAAATAGCTAGTTATGAAACATATAGTTTATTATTGGTTGTGTTTTTTTTTAAATATTCTCTATTGACTATCCTAACCAATATTAATTAATAACTGGCTATCCTTAACCAGAACTCTGATGTGGTGCTGTAGGAGAAACACTGGACTGCTGACCACAACGTTGGTTATAGAAACATACTAACTGCTCTTAAAAAGCCTATATTGTTGTGTGCCATTGACTATACAGGGTTGCTATGAGTTGGAATCAACTAAATGGCAAACAACAACAATCCTAAACCAATTTCATTTAAGGAGTTAAAAGGGTTCAATGACTCAGAAATGAATTGGAGACTGCTGTGTTGTTAAGGGTTGTCCTGTCAGTTATGACACATAGTGACCCTGACAGGCTTTCTAGGGAATGGCGGGTGAGTTTGAAACCACTGACCTTGTGGTTCAAACTGACCTTGCAGTCCAGTGGTTTATCCCACAGTTCCACACCAGGACTCCTGATTTATACACTACACAAAGAAAGACAATGTCTTTGAAAAAAATTTACGGAATCTGCAATAAGGAATGCTTTGTAACAATTTACTAAGATATTCTAACATGCTCTCAATGCATGTCAAATTAATTAACTATGACTAATGTACAATACAATTTCTTTCTTCCAGTAAATGGGAACTCTCTTTAAAAAGGTAAACGACATATTTTAAAGTGTTTAACATATAGTACCTGGTATGTGGGTATTCCTTTGTTCTACTTACCCCTTCCAGAGAACTTTAGAAAATACCACCATAAAAAAAAAAATAGCATGATTAGGACTATATTTAAAGCAGTTATGATCAAGGTCACAATTTCTTTTTATATAATTTGCACTAATCTCTGTTTATTTAATTGGCTATTACAGCCTTTATTTTATTTCTTATTCAGATTTTATTATGTCTTATCCATTATGTTATTTGCCAAAACTTTAAATTCCTCTATCCTTTTTTTTTTTAACTACTCTTTTTATAGACCCAGCCCAGGAAGCAGTCTACCATTTATCTGCTATTGTTCTAGCAATGAAAGTTTTAACAACACAGAGATTTCAGAAAAGCAACAACAAAAATGTCTTTTCAAATAATCAAGAGTTTGCAGAGATTTTTAAGAGCCACCTGAGGGAGTAATGAAAACTTTGCAAATGAGACCTGAAGAACTACATATTTCTGGCTGTGTGTCAGGAAGGACCAGTCTCTGGAGAAGGATATCATGTCTGGTAAGGTGGAGGGTCAGAGAAAAAGAGAAAGACCCCCAGGGAGATGGATTGGCAAAGTGGCAGCATCAATGGGCTCAAGCGTGGCAACAATTGTGTAGTTGGCCCTGGATTGGGCAATGTTTCATTTTGCTGTGCATAAGGTCACTATGAGTCAGTACTGACTCGATGCCACCTAACAGCAACATCTTACATGACACTCCACTTGGAGCCAGGTAAATAAAAACAACAGTATGGTCTGTTTCTTCAGTAAGTGTATTATTTATTGCATGAAGGCAAGAAATCTAAGAAAACGATCCAGATAATTTTAGAGTTGCTATCAAATTAGGAAAACTAATAATATCTATCTTATATTCTGAATATATGTATCAAATTATGCCTGCAAGTTGTATTTTGATATATAATTTTAGGATAACCTAAAACAAATTCATAAATTGAGATGATGCAGAACAACAGAAAGATCAAACCCAAACTGGCTGCTATAGAGTCGACTGCAACTCATAGCAACCCTATGTAGGATTTCTGAGGCTGTACATCTCTTTGAGAAAAGAACACCTCATCTTTCTCCTATAGAATGGCTGGTGGGTGTGAACTGACCTCACAATTAGTTCTTATCCTACAGCGCCACCAAGGCTCCTTCAAAGAAAGACACGGCTTCTAAAATTGCTTTTATACATTAAATTCAGTCTAGTGCTTAATCAATTGAATGTAGTATCACCTGAAAAGTGAAGTCTCTTACCATTAAAACAGTCTTAGAGGAATCACCAGAGTATCGTAGACTGAATACTCCCAGAGCTCCCAAAAAACAAAAGAAAGTAAATGTGGCAAGATTTCGAATATCTAGAAATGACTCTATAAGTGGTATTGTTCCCATTGTCCAATCACAGCAGAGCTCTGAAGGATTTAATAGAAGCCAAGCATTCACTGGAAGAAGGTAGTTAAAAGTTAGCTGCCTTGCAGGAGTTGGGCTTACAGCAGCTGGATTATCAAACCTGTATAAGGGATGGAAAATACGTCTTTAAATAACTTTTTTAACCATAAAACAATACATAATACATACAAAACACTGAACAATAAGAGCAATATTTTACAAGTATTTTCATAAAATACACTAGAGTTCAAGCTGTCTAATCTTTATACAAAATCTACCTGGTGGTGGTGGCTGTGTGCCAACAAATCTGTTCTGAGTCACAGTGACCCTGTATATAGGGTTTCCAAGGCTGTAAATCTTTACAAGAGGAGAAAGCCTCATCTTTCTCAAGGAGTGACTGGCAGATTTGAACTGCTGACCTTGTGGTTAGCAGCCCAGGTTGTAATCCACTATGCTGTCAGGGTTCCTTAACCTGAGAGGAGTGGTATTTATGAAAAATTACTTGAAGAGGCAAACATATCATCTATTTCTTTAGCTTATTACTACTAGAACAATATAGTCATATTTACTATAATAAATATATGACATTTCATGCTTCCATTAAATTATGATTTTATGATTAAGTTTTAATAAAAAGTTACACAAAAAACTTGCTGATGGTGTCATATGGATGTTTTTGAGTATACGCACCAATATTTTCATGTAAGACATTTTTTTTTTTTACACCTAACTGGATAAGGGAAAACTGATGGTGTTTACAACAACATGCAACATTTTATTTGTGCTTCATTTTGTCCCCTAGTTTCCAGGTTAGAACCCATTTTCCAGTTTAAAACCTAGTTTACAGTTCTCCAGGCCATGATATATAAAACTGCATGTTGTTAAATGCTGCTGAGTCAGTTGTGGCTCATAGTGATCCCATATAGGGTTTCTCAGAAGGAACTGGTGGGTTTGAACTGCTAACGTTGTGGCTAGCAGTTTAGTGCTTACCCAGAAGTGCATGTTTCATTAATTTAGTCTGTTTTCTATAAATTATGTCAAGTCATTTCATTTTTTTTGTTGTTTTTCTAATCTACATTTTAAATTATACTCGCTAGATTATTGTTGTTAAGTGTTGCTGAGTTGGTTCCAACTCATATCGACCCTAGGTAGTGTTTCCAAGGAGTCATTGGTGGGTTTGAACCACTGACCTTGCAATTAGCACTCCAGTACTCATCCTTCAATGTTATAACAGGACTTTGGCTAGATTCACTGAGTAATTTAAAAACCTAATTTTTTATTTTAAAGTGAATAACTCAAAGATCAACCTGTACTACCTATTTAACTTTGCCTGCTTTAAAACACCAAATCTGAGTAAGGATAAAAAGTTATCTGAAAGTCATTTTGAAGGTTTTCATATTTGAATCTATCTAAAAAAATGAATCTTGAGTCTAGAATTAAATTCACAATATTACAAGCAGTATTGAAAAAGAGATGCAATGCTATCTTTTTTCCTGCAATCCACTACTCAGTAGAGTTCAATTTTTATAATGAAGTTTATTTAAGATACCTGATTCAATAATTTAAATGTTAAGAAAGACTTTCAGATGACTATGTTCATATACTGATCATTACACATATTTATTATAATGCTTACAAGTCAAGCCATATTATAACAGTCACAGGGCAATCTAACAGAATAAAATTACACATACATATTGTAAGTGTGGGTCTGTGGTGTGGGTACACTGTTAGCTGTTGCTGAACAAGCCCACAATTGGTTTTCCACAAGATCATCATGCCTTTCACACATGCACACACACATTTAAGTGATTATATTTTAGAAAAAGAAAATATGTACCATACACAATATATACCATTTCTAGTATATAGTAAGTGCAAAAAAATGGTAAATACTCTTATTGCCTTCTATAAGAAAGAAGCTGAGAGCAGAGTAAGAAAGTTACAAGTTAGACTTCAGAAAAACAACATAGATTCAAATAACCCAGCCACACATACATAATACAAATACACTCATGCCATAAACTACCCTAGAAATTAAGATGAAAGTAACAGATTCAAAATTATTTACGAGAAGTGATAATCAGACCCAAAACACTGAAACTGAAGATTGAAGAAAGAAATGCACACCCAGTCATGTGCCACATAATGTTTTCAGCAAAGTTGGATAGCATATACATCCACGGTTCCAACCCCTTAAAGCCTATTATGTTAAAAACTTGAGGTATATGCAATGGTTCATAATAACAAGTAAGGGCTATTTTGCAATGCACATCAAAACATTATGTTTAAGATGTTTCATTGTATCTGGAAGTATTTATTTAGTGGTTTCTATGCATAGAAAGATACACTATATACTATGTACATACTGAGAAAAACATTTAACTAACTGATGTTATATAAGAACCTTAGCTAATTGTTCTGACTTACAAACAAATTAGATTTAAAGACAAACTTAGGAACAGAACTCATTCATAATCTTGGGACTGTCAATATATAATATAGCGTTTATACAACATTCCGATCACGTAACATTCTCTTTCACAGACACATTGTGGACATTAAGCCATACATGAGTGTATCTCTAGTCTACGTCCTATACTGTAGAGTCTGGCTAATTCCAAACCTGAAAGGTATCCACACAGGTCTGTGTCAGAGGTTTATGTCCTCACTTCTAGAAGGTGTGATCTGGTGAACATGATTTGTTCAGTTTAGAACTGGATTCAGAGGTAAAAATTCAGTAACATAAAAGTAACTCCTGAAAGAAAAATATTGCTACTATAGGATCAACACAGTGGCAACAACAATGGGTTCAAACAACAATTGTGAGGATGGCATAGGACAGGGCAGTGTTTGGTTCTGTTGTGCACAGGGTTGCTATGAATCAGAACTGACTCGACAGCACCTAACAACAATTAAAGGTTATTTGAATATGTCACATACACATATGTAAGCACAAAATAATAGAGAATTCTTTGAATAAAAGTTATTCTAACCAGAGCCAGCAATGCATTACCACAGATAGCAACTTGAACTACATTCTGGCCTTCTTTGAAAAAAAGAGTCCCTATAAGTGATGCTAGTCACTTACAGCTTTAAATACTGCCACAGTTCTGTAAAGCATAACAGCTTTACATAAAGCTGTTTCCAAGTAACTTAAATGACTGCCACACAAAGCTCAAAACATTGAAAGGAATATACAATGCTATACTTCACATCTGGTGCCTAACCAAAATATATCAGGTATGCAAAGAAGCAGAAAAACACAATCAAGGAGGCAAAAAACTATTAAATCTGAACTGATTAAAAAATGACACAGATGATGTTGTTGCTGTTGCTAGGTGCCACCAAATTGGTACCAACCCACACCGACCCTATGGCCAAGAGAAGAAAACACTGCTCAGTTCTGGGTCAACCTCACAATCATGGCTATGTCTCACACCACTGCTACTGCCACTTTGCCAATAAATCTCATTGGGGGTCTTCCTCTTTTTCTCTGACCTTTCACTTTCTCAAACATGATATCCTTCTACACGGACTGGTACCTCCTGATAATATGTCTCAAGTATGAGAGATGATGTCTGGCCATCCTGGCTTTCAACGAGCACTCGGACTGTACTTCTTCCAACATACAGATCTGTTTGTTCTTTTGGCAGCCCATGCACTTTTAATATTCTCCTCTAACACCACAACTCAAATGTATCAATTCTTCCTTATTCACTATCCAACTTTCTTTCACATGCACAGGAAGTTATTGAAAATACCATGGCTTGTATCAGGCACACCTCAGTCCTCAAATTGACATGTTTGGTCTTCAACACTTTAAAGAGCGGGTCTCGTGCAGCAGATTTGCCTAATGAGATATATCGTTTGATTTCTTGACTGCTGCTTCAACTGTTGATAGTTGATCTGAGCAAATTAAGTCTCTGACAACTTCAATCTTTTCTCAATTTATATGGATGACATAAATGATAAAATTGTTAAAGTGCCATTGAGTTGGTTCTGACTCATAACAACCCTGTACAGGGTTTATGAGTTGCAGCTGGTTAGTTTGAACCACTGACCTTGAGGTTCAAATTGACTCTGAGGTCCAGTGCTTACCCTACGCCACACCAGGACTCTTTACAGAAGGTAATCGCCTCATTTTTCTCCCACCAAGCAGTTGGTGAGCTGCATCTGCTAACCTGCTGGTTAGCAATTCAGTGCTTATCCTATAGCCTTCCTTGATGACAGAATTTGTAGGGAAGAATATTACACTGTTAACACTATTGTATATGCTCAAGAAACAAAAAACTTGAACAGAGACATGGAAGATATAAAAATATCTGACCTGAACTTCAAAAGATGCAAGTTATCCAGATGTAAAACAACTTGTTGGAATTAAGGGGGCAGATTAGATATTACCGAAAAAAAATTACTAAACTTGAAAGCATAGTAATATAAACAGTCTAAACTAAAGAGGGTGAAAAAATGAACAGTGCATCAGTGGGTCAACTTTAAGAGGCCTGTTGTTATGTATCATCGAGTCGATTCCGACTCATAGACATTCTACATAGGGTTTCTGAGGCTGTACATTTTCAGGGAGTAGAACACCTCCTCTTTCTCCTGTGGAGCAGCTGGTGAATTTAAACTGTCAATTATGTGGTTAATAATCCGGTGCTTATCCTACAGATGGAGACAGAAAAACTACAAGAAGAAGTAACAGCTGAACAATTTCTAAAATTTATATAAAAGTATAAACATATAGATTATAAGAAGTAAAAATAATTCAAGCACAAGAACAAGAAAAAAGCTGCTTGAGTATAGATTGCTTAAAACCAGTGAAAAATAGAAAATATCATAAGGCATAATAAAATGATACATTATGGAAGCAAAAGATGAGACTTCTTGTTGAAAACAATGTAAGCCAGAATCAGCAGAGCAACATACTTAAAGTAGTGAATGAAAAGCAAAAACCATGAATGTAGAATTCTAAAAACCTAAAAACAAAACAAAACAAAAACCAAACCCACTGCCATCAAGTTGATTGTGACTTTACAGTATAAGCTCTGAACTGCAAGTTCCGTTTGGATCGCTTGGTCAGTGGTTCAAACTCACTAGCCGCTCCTCAGAAACCCTATACAGGATTACTATGAGTAGAAACTTACTTGACGACACTTAATGACATAAGACAGAATAGAACTGCCCCTTAGGGTCTCTAAGTCTATAAATCTTTACATGGACAGAAGGGCTCATCTTTCTCCCTCAGAGTAGCTAGTGGGTTTAAACCTTCTTCTACCTTATGGTTAGCTGCTCAATTCTTTGCACATACAGCCACCAGAGCTCCTCATAGATTTCTATACTCAGTGAAACGATCATTAAAAAATAAAAGTGAAATAAATTCATTTTTAGACATACAAAAACTAAAATAATTAGCCATCAGCAGAATTTTTGAATTAAAGATTCTCTGGAACATTTACAATTACTTAAAACCCTAAGTCATAAAAACAAAATACAACAAAACAAAACAAAAAAGAATAAAAATTGCTTACCTAGTGAATACTGGAAGCTGGGACTGAATAACTTGGACTCTAATCACCACAAGTAACAGTGTGCTAAACATCAGGACAATGAGTTTTATTAGTGTCTGCAGCATAGAAAATGGAATACTAGTCTTTCCACGGACAAACTGTCCAGCAGTAGAACATAATAATGGCAAAGTATACTAGAAAAGAAAAGAAAAAAGTTTTAAGCAAAAAATGCATTCAACAACAACAATCATGTTGTTACAGTATCATACTTTCCAAATACAGGCATCCTCTACTTTTTGAAAAGGTTTCATAGGAATATTCTATCTTTAGAGACTGGGGGGGACACCTGTACATTATTAAAGATAAAAGATAAACTGACTTTTATATTGATAAAATCAATCTGGAACAATCTGTGAAACTGGTAATAAAAATTAAGATCAATAATCTTATCCAATAATGAATTATCCTGTACACTATTATTTGCACTTTTTCAAGTTGCCTAATGTTTCCATAATTGAAACTTTAAAACAAAACAAAACAAAGATAAGTTTTAGCAGGTACAACACAAAAATGCTTTGTTTTATGAACATTTTTGGTATGACTTTCTAATGAATTGGCAAACTGACTAACTTACATAGATAAAAATGTTCTATAGATAGATTTAGAAAATACATGCAATCTGACTCATTTAGAATATACCAAGATAGCAAAAGAAAAATTTGTATTTCTCCTTACCCCCTGGGCAATAAACACTTCATATACACAGCAAATTCCCACAACAGTTATTCCTTGTTCTTTACACAAGGTTGCAACAGCCACTAAAAATACTGTCAGTGCAATTGGAGTCCACACTGCAAGTTAAGAACAGAAATAAAAACTTCACAAAAACAATTTTAAAATAATACAAAAAAGATATTTTATTAGACATTACTAAACATGTTGTGATTCAATAGTCACATTTCTGTGATTTCCCATTAAACTTACACTTTACAATTCAAAATTAATTTAATTTTGTAAGTAATTTTTGTTTTAAATAGAGAAAAGGAAAAAAATCAAGATGTATAATCTAAATTAAAAAAAAAACTTTTATTTTAGAGAGGATTATGTAACAAAATACTAATTTGTACAAAAAAGCAGGACTGGGTAATTTGCAAAAAAAAAGAAAATTACAGGTTTCAGTCATAATTATCGCTGGTAGCATACTGGTTAAGAATCAGGCTGCTAACCTCAAGGTCAGCAGTTTGAAACTACCAGTTGCTCCGAGGGAGAAAGATGATGCTTTCTGATCCTGTAAAGATTTACAGCCTTGGAAATCCTGTATAGGGTCGCTATGAGTCAGAACCGACTCCATAGCACACAACCACTAACCATCAACCATCAATACAAAAAGATGCCTAACCTTGTGCAGATTAGATATTTATATCGTTTATTACACCTGTACTGTATTAACAATTTGAAATTTAAAATGGCTAGATACAGTGGCTGACCATTCTTAAATCTCTTCTACTTAGCAATAATTTTTTTTAAACAACTGTGACAGTAATTACTAACTTTCTTTGTTACTATAGGCAACTTTTTTAAGCTTCAACTTTCTTAATGATAAGTATGACCTCCAGTTTATTGTGTGACCTAATTTTTCATCCATTAGGAAAACCAATGGGAAAACAGAAAGAAGTAATTGACTTGAGAAATCCAAGATTAAATAAAAAAAATCATGATCTTAGTGGCTTTTCTTCTGTTACTGGGCATAGTATAGAAGCTCATTTATCTTTTTTTTTTTTTTACAGTACTCAACAGATGGATTACTGAAAGGGAAAATATCTACCAAAAAGACACTGTTGGAAACACTAAATATTCCATCCTCAAAAAAAAAATTCTTATTCTAGTTGAGCCTAAATGATCAATATTAAAACAACAGATGCTAGAGCCATACGACAATGCTAATTTCTGGGTTTAAACTCTTCTCATCTTTTTTCCTTAGCAGACACAGTGGGGAGTAAGTTTAGAACATGTGGCTTGAGGTGACATGCCAAAATAACTAGATACCAAAGAAGAACAGCCATAATAAATGATGGGGAGAAAACCTACTAACACATAAAATCAAAGCAGAATTACTTTAATATACAGACCAAGAATTTAAAATAAGTTAAGAACTTAAGGAAATAAAGAATGATAGACTATAACAAGAATTATTAAAAAATAAAGTATCAGGAATTAAAATGCGATAGGTTATTTTAGTTGAGGTACTTTGGAAGTGCAGTTATTAAGCAGCTCAGTTGCTGATCAAGATTATTGTAAAAGCTTAAGAAAAGATACCCATATTAAAAGGGTAAAAAAAAAAAAAAATCTTTGTTGATTACTGGTGGTGGTGGGGTGGGTGGATTTGGGGGAGTTGGAAGGAGGCGAAGGTAGAGCACAGGGTAGGGGTCAGACACATACTAGTTCTGGTGTTGGGAAGGACAATGCACAAGAAGGGGAAGGGGTTGGATGAAGGTAGACAGGGGAACACTGAGACAGGTTTGTCTGCATGGGCTAAATGGGACTAAGGTAAACAGTGATGCATGCTCAACTTTGGAACGACAGGGTTCTGTGATACAGGGATTGAGCACAGTCTGAAGAGGGGAAATAATACTAAGATGTTTGATGGTCTTATGAATATTGGTTTCCCTTGCCTACTATTGTAAAATAGACACTTGAGTGGGATAGAAAGGAATGTTGGAAAATATGATTAGAGAAAGCTTGTAAAGCTGTCTTCAGCCTATTAACTGATTGGAATACCTAAAAGGGGTTCTAGAACTTGTCCAGTGAAACAGGCCTCTTGCGGAGCCTTTGAAGTGTATAGGACCTTAGGTGGAATCCTGAGCCCCATCCAGAACCTTCTGAAGTGGGACATTCCCACTAGAAAGGACAAGCAGACCAACCTGGAACAGCTAGAGC